TGCAAATTGCTTCAAATCAAATTGCACCTTGGGTCTAATGCAAAACAGTATCAAAAAGCTTTAACGAATGCATATAAAAACCTGAGAAATCCATTATTTATCCATTTGGCAATACTATATGATAACACATGTGACACTGGGTGATAAGACCTGTGACTGTCATCTACTAATGATGTTTAATGATGATGATGTTAAGGATTTACAATAAACTGCTTTTGGCATTGACAACAAGCAGAAGATTGTGCATTAAAATATATGCTCACATTATCCAAAACTTTTCCACACACATGTGGAAAAACAGGAGGCTGCCAGAAAGCTGTAGGTTATTTCCATGTGACAATCACATGGGCAAGATTAGAAGGGACTCAGAAAACACCTTCCTTCTCCTTTTGCAGATCAAAGTGAAAAGAGGCATTTTGAGTCTTTCAGATCTGAAGCTCAACCTGTGAAAAGGACATTTCCAAACCCAGCTTTGCTCAATGTCCAGCCCTGCACAAAGCCGTTCTGAACGAGCAGGACCTTCAGCCCTCTGTATAACCATTTCCCTATTGATTTATTATCATTTCCCTTCTAATACCAGGCCAAAGATGCTAGCACGCCCCACTCATCATGGTCCTATTCCACACATAAAAGCCCTAGTTGTAGTGTACAGCTACAGCCTTCCTCTGTCTCATTTGTGCATTCAGAGGACTTGGCAGCAGCAGATGTAAAAACCCTACCCAGGGAGAACAACAAACCCGTCCAACAGCTGGTAAGTGAAAATCTTGAAACATAAATGCCCTGAAAAAACCCCTAAGGCATTMATTCTTTGGGCACCCGAATTTCAAACAATACAATTTTCCCAGGACTTTCAATTCCTACTGACATCAATAGGGGTGGGGAAGGGCAAGGCCCCTGACAGGGGCCTTCCCAAATGTATTCCTTCCCAAATTCCTGTTTCTCTGCTCACCTGCTTTCCACCCACGGAAACTCCACTTCTCCAGATGAAACCCTATATTCAAAAAATTTAAATATAGTTGAGTGTGGCTCAGCCACAGAGCCTTGGCTCATAAAAAGTATAGCTCTATCAACAGAAGGTAGTATCACACACATACACACTGGGGAGCATATGAAAGCTAATTTAAAAGAAAACATACAAGTGTTTCATAGTTCATCCAAGCTAAGCTTATTCTGGAACAGAAGGAAAAAACTTGTTCTTTGCTCTCTGAAAGCCTCAGCCCTTCTTCCTATCATCRCTTTCAAATTTCATGCCTTCAGGCCATAAACATCCCATTTCTCATCAAATAGCTTTTTAAAATCTGCACATAACACTTCCACATCTGCCACAGGCTTTTGCTCTGCTCTTCTGAGGTGTTCCTGCAGCTCCCACTCTCTTGGCAAGCACTGACTGCAGGTACAAACCCAACACCCTCCTTGCCTCATCTCCTAGGATGTAGGATTAACTTGTCTCTCTCAAAGCTGTTGCCTTGAGCTTTGGGTGTTCTTCCCTCCCTACCTTGTTCTGTGTTCCACGTTTCCCCTGCTTTGGGCTGAGGACTCATAATCCAGCAGGATCTACACGTAATGTCCCCTGGCCAACAGGCACCTGTGTGACCTGCTATGGATTCCCTACCCCTAAATCTGTCCCTAGACTCTGTTTGGACATGGAAAATACATCTCCTAAACAGAACTGATTTGCTGCACCAAACAGAACACAGGGTTTAAGCACACGGACATTCGCAATCCATACTACCCGCCATCCGAGGACCCTAAAAACAATGCGAGGCGTCAAATCTAGGCCACATTTGGCAGAAGTGAAGTTACAGCCTGCGTGGGATAAATTCTGGTTCCAGCACAATGTTAGACCCTYCCATTTAATTATTTTTTTATCAATTGGTCAAAGCAGAGGAGATGGAGGCAGGAAAACAWATCCTATTGCCACAGATGTGAATTTACCGTTCACCCTGATAARCTTGGGCTTGTCAAAGTGTCCATCTAAGCCACTGGTTTCTCAAACAGCTCCCTTAGACCTAGCTCTGCACATCCACATACCATCATCCAGCCGCACTGCAGGTCATTTCTTCAGAAAGGCAGAAAATTCATTCAAAATATGAGTATTTATTTCCACAAGCAGGACCTCAGAAGTACAGGTGACCTTTTTTAGTTCAATTATCCACAGGCTGCCTCTCTTTCGGCAGCCACGTGTACCAGAACTCTRAAGTTCTCATTTTTTCAGCTATTTAGTCTGATAATTGTATTTCCCACAGGCTTTTGAGCAGACTCCCACTCCTGCCTTCGCGGTGGGGGAGGCCTTGCCTTGATGTGAATTACAACAAAGGCAGAAACAAGGAACACTTTGCAGATGACTTAGAAACTGAGGAACAATGAAGAAGCCAGTATTACTGCGGAATTCTTCACTAATTTAGTCACCAGCCTAACTTCTCTCTGCAGGCGTTAAAGGAATTGAGCTAAACTGAAAAACTGGGAATTTAGGAGAGGTAGAGCTCATACGAAAGGGCAGGAAATGTATTCAGAGATGTTAGACTGGACTGAGTAGCCTGCTAATCTGAGTGCTACAGACAAGTGTTCCAAGAAATTCAGGTCAATGGTTCTGTACTATTTATTTCCATCACAAAGCTTTTTTTTTTTTGGTGAAATTCTGTCCGGTACAGCCTTTCCTAAAACCGGATGAGGGCAGAGAACTCAAAGTTACCATAGTCTGTGTAGCTATTTTTATGGTATCTTTCTAGAATACCATTAACAAGAACAGATAGATTAATTCTTTGAACCTGTATGCTTGCTAAAACCTTTGACCACTGGCGAAATTCTGTGTCAGAAATTCAAGTCCAAGCTTTTTGCTAAAAAGGTTCTTATCGCTTCTCTATTTGGACATACGTAACCTTCTTTTCCTGAGGCTGTATTTTCCAAGGTAGATGCCAAGTTCTGGAGAAAGCTACTACATTACATAATTCATTCTTTTGTGCTCCTCTCACCCAATAAATTCTGGTAAAACACAAAATATATGGGCTAAACACCTAAAAGCAGAGCTCTGTAAAAGCAGAGCTCTGTAAAAGTCCGTATCTTTCCAACCCTGGAAATAATTTTAGTGAATTTTCTTTGTCTTCATAAGTACCTGCTGGCTGCATTGCACATAGCATCAAAACTCTTAAAACCAAGCAAGGATGGAATTCTTCAAAGGGCACATTATTACCCAGCATTTACTCAGGCAGGTCATTGGAAGTCTTCCATGGTCAGGTTAATGCTGGACCTGTGACAAAGCCCAGCSTGAGGACAGGGCTCACACAAAAGCGATACATACAGACGTGCAGCAAGGGCTGCAGGGACGGAAGCAACGGGACAAGGCAGATCCTTGTGGAAGCTCCTTACATGTTCCTTGTTGGGAAGCAGATCTCATGAACACCTTTTACATAAAAGTAGACCTCTTTCCTGCAGGTGTCAGCGTGCTGAGCACTAACAACTGCTGCCGCTGGAAATATTTTATGTTGACGGTTTTACAGCATCTACAGGAACAGCATCTCGGTATTGCTTGGAAGAGAAACTGCAGTTCCTACACTGATGACCCTATAGGTGTTTACAAAAAAAAAAAACAGGCTTTTTACTAACATTAAAATTGTTGTTGGAAAGCCACCAGTTTCCTCACTTGTTAACAGAGACATTAGTGTCACTCGGTAACTATTTGAGATGGCTGGGGTACTTGTATGGGTTCAGTACACTTCCATATGGGAATGAATCCAAAATCACACCTACTGCGATGGTGGAAGTTGGCCTTGCCAAGTTATAAAGTTATGAAGAAGCGGCAGAATGCTTGCAGGTAGAAGCAAGGGAGATGCTGTGATTCCTGCTCCTCTACATCTGTGTAACCAAATTAAAATGGGAATATATTCTTGAAAGTCTCAATGGAAAGAGGATGGATCAAAAATCCTCTAAGACAATGAGCTGGATGAACACAGATTATTTCACACTTTATCATCAGGCAGAATTTGTATAGAGAAGAGATCTTTATTACGTAAAGTTCCCTTCCTAAGAAGGATTAATGGAAATTTAGAGCTGTAWTAAGACTAAAGACAAACAGGGCAAAATATTCCATAGTTGTCTTCCTTTCCCCGCTTCTAGAAAGTTCAAGAGAGTCAACACATTTTGAATAAACCAKATTTTTCCTTTCCAAACCTCAATAGCATACAATTATTATTATTGCAAAGGCATTTGTTTCTCAAGTGTGGGAATGATAATGGAACCTTTGGAATCAAAGCTCCAAAGAGACCYGAGGGGACGGAAAGTCAGTCCTATGAATATGGAAAAATACATTACAACTGACAAACAGCAGACACAACAGCCCAGTTGAGATGTATAAACAGACCTGTGTAATGAAATGCTGCTGTAACTGGGGAAGACCACATCTTGCCCAYTGCATTCCAAGCAATTCTGGGCAAGTACCTCACAGAACTTACGGGCCCATTGCGGTGTCTGGGGCTGCTCCCCAAGGCCTTGCTCCCCAGTGCCTTGCTCGCAGCCCTGCCAGCTGGAGAGTGTAAAAACAGCTCAAGATTTAGCAGTAAAACAAGGAAATGGATTTAGACAGGGCTAAGAGTGTTTATGTTAAAAGGACTCAGGGCTGATGCCCACATGCAGCAGGCTGGAACCAGCAGGCATGAGGGATGAGCCCGAGCCCGAGCCCCCTACCCTGCTGCTCGGGCGGCACCCGGGGAAGCAGCAGGACACGACAGGAGATGCTGCTGTCCCCTCCATTTAACGGCATCCCCCTTCACCGCCACCTCGCACCGGCCCCGGCCGCCTAACATGGCGGCGGCGGGGGCGCCGCTGCCCGCATGCGCGGCGGGGCGGCCGGCTCTGCCGGCTCTGCCGGGAGCGGCCCACTGGGCGGGTCGGGCCGGGCCGGGCTGGGCGGCGGGGCGGAGCGGCGAGGCGGGAGGGGAGGATGATGATGATGCTCCCGCTGCCGCCGCGGGGAGAGGCGGCGGCGGCGGCGCGGGAGGCGGAGGATGCGGCGGCGCTGGTGGTGGCGGCCGGCGGCAGCGGAGCGGGGAGCGATGCGGTGCTGCGCGGCGGCGCCCTGGCCGCAGAGCGGCGGCGCCCTCACCACGCTGCTGCTCACAGGTCGGTCCGGGCGGCGCGGCGCGGCGCGGCGGGAGCTCCCCCGCGCCAGGCGGGCTGCGCGGCCCGCTCCGCAGGCCGGGCCTCCTGCGCGGCCCGCCCGGGCAGCCCCCGCGGGCCAGGCCAGGCCGGGCCCGGCGGCGCTGCGGGCGGCGGGGGCGGCCGGCGCCCGGGAAGGCGCCTTGGGCTTCCCCCCTTCTCCGTGTCGGGAGCGGGGCCCGTGCCCCAGTGCTCCCTGCCCCGCGAGCACCGCCGCCTTTCGCGTTCACCCCTCCCAGAACCGCTTTACCCGCGTGAGCGCTTGAGCTGAGCGTGCCAGGATGGGGACTGCAGAGGACGGCGCCGACCTTAATGGGGGTAAATGGCCGTGGAGCAGCGAGGTGCTGCGGGCACRGGCTCCCCGGGTTGAACCCTGCACGCCAGGATGCCTCCCAGCCCGCACCTAGAGAGGCCAGAAGTGACCCAAGATCACGACCATAGCCAGACATCTGCCTCTTAGCTGYCCAGGGGCCTCCCCTGTGGGAGCTGAGGGCTGCTCAGCCCTTTCCTARGCTAGTGTGTGTGTGTGTTGTGCTCCATGTGGGTGATCCTACCTGGCACAGGACTGCAGGAGCAACCTGGTGCGTTGAATGTGCTGCAGAGGTAATCAGTGCCCCATCGCTGTGCTATCCAGGGTAAGAATAAAATTTGATGTTCGTTAGACAGTAGAGGTCTTTTCTGTTTTCCTGAAGTGGAAATGCTTTCTGCCTCTTCTGTCACCCTCCCGCAAGGCCAAACATGGCATAGCAACCCAGAAGGAACCAGGACAGTCTTAGGATAAGCCTTAAATGTTAACTAAGARTGAGTCTAGAAAAGCTCAACTAAAATGAAGTTTCTAGAAGCTGGGTTGTGAGCGTAATCCACAGGTATCTTCCAGACTACACAGTAAGGGAAATAGACTTCTAAAGTTTTTCCAGTGTTAAGTTTTCCACTTCAAATTCAGGCTTTTTGCAGCTTGCTTCAGCTGGATTTTGTAGCTTGAAGAGCAGAATATATGGTGTGTAACTGATACAAGCAAATGTGAACAGTATTAAGTGATATCTGTCTAACACTCTTCATCCAGTTATATTTTTGTAGTAGATCCCTGGTCTGAAGTGAGATGAACCACCAGGCACCACATAGAAGTCGAATGACTCAGACTTTCTCAGTCTTTCACTTGCACTTTTTTTTCCCCCTTTAAGAAAGAGGAACAGCAAGCTGCTGTTTTCATGATAGTATTGAAGATCATCTCTTGACCTCAACTGAGTTCTCCTGGGAATAGTTTTTTCCCTTGATTCAGAGAAAACAAAATATAACAATCTTTAACTTGAACTTTTTTACGTGTAGGATGTGTAAAACTTATATTTAACAGCTTTTTGAAGAAGTCCATTTGTTGTCAGAAGTCCGTCCAGATCTCCTCCCCAGCAGAGTGATTTCAGAAGTCCACCATTCYCTTCCAGGGGCTAATGCAGTATTCAAACTGAAGGCACCAACTTTCAAACACCAGCTGATTATCATCTCCTCCAGGGCTGCGAGAGTGCTAGGAAAGCTGAGGCTTGACATTATTGTCAAAAGTGACATTTTAAGTTGAGCTTTTCTAATGTGAACTAATTGACAGTTCTTTGGCTTTAACACACTTTGCTGCAAGGCAAAGCTGGAGTCTGGCAAACTTTTAAGTTGCCTTCATATTCTGCTCCTAAAGAAAAAGTGGTTTTAGAAGAATTATTCAGATGACTGTGGCCATTTTGTGGTTGTTGCCTCGTGTTTCTGCAGTTATGGAGTTAGTTGGCAGTGCCTCGTATTGGCACGGGAATGCTTGTTTTGTCCCGGGAATAGGGAGAGAGAGAGAGAGAGAGAGCAACTAAGTCATTCCCCCCCAGCCAGCCATTCCCTATAAAGCAGTCAGAACAGAGAAGGAGCTCGTGAGTTCTCGCTCCAAACGCTGTGATGACAGGGTCACATTAATTTGTCATAAAGCTGCACAGCTGCCAGAAAACGGTGTCCTGCCCTTCCACAGCCGAGGCATTTTTTGTAGCTTCCCTCGTGGGCACAAATGCTTGTGCAGAGATAACTGAGTTGAATGAATGTGCTCTCCTCCCCGTCAAGAGAAGAAAAACCCACAGCCTAGTTTAGTAAGTTCAACAGGTCATTAAAAAACACAAACTCCAAGAAATAAAAAAGAAACAAATAGACACACAAAAGCACACCACACGTTTCTACTGATTTGCATTAAGGAGCCAGGAATGAGCTGGGAGACRCTCGTGTGGCTGCTGGTTTCTGGCCGTGTGAAACTGCTCTGAAACCTCAGCGGAGGAGAGGAGCGTTCCGGAGGCTGCAGCAGCAGCTTCTGCAGCCTAACAGCCCTGGTGTCCCTGCCTTTTGTTGCTTTTGTGGATGCAACYGTAAGGACAAAAATATTTTCTTCGTACAGGGCTTAGAACCTGTCCCGAGCAAGGTGGATTTATCGTGTCTTYGCACTGATCTGACGCAGAGCAGTAGGCAAGATGTCCAGATGGAGTTGGAAGTGCTTGCTTGAATAAATAGTTACACAAGGAAAAAACTAGTCATCCTGTTAGCACATTTTCGTTACAGAAGGACATTCTTTATAGGTGGAATAGTTTACATTTGGAAGTCTTGGAGATYGTTAAGCCAGATAACAATAAGAAAAAGCTTTATAGCAGGAATTTATCTTCTGGTTAGAACTTGTAGTGTATAAGGAAAAGGTTGTTTTGACTCATKAATGTTTTTAGAGTTGATTAGAAGTTTATGACAATACTTAGGAGTTTCAGTCATGATACTAGAATGCTTTTTTTTCTGAAAATAGATTACTTACGGTAAAACAGAGAAGAAATTCCAAAGCTAGACAGGAATATGCATCTGGACATAGCTTTGGGATATTTGAGTAGTTACTGGTGATTTGAGAGAAGGTCATGGTATAGACAAGCAGAAACTGCAAAATATTCTGTATGGTTAGAGCTTCAACCTCTTATTCCTTAGCAGAACTCTAAAGCAAGATGGGAAAATTTTTAGCTTTGGTTAGTTCTAGGAAGAGAAGAGAACCGTGGAAGAGGAGAGCTAAGAAACCGGAAAAAAGAAGCGATTTTCCCTCCTSGTCAGTTCAGCTGTGTTATAGAAGAAGGGTAATAAATTGACCAAAGCAGAAGTGCTTTGGCACGAGAAGAATTTTTATATGACTGCGTCGCTGGAGTGCGATAATAAGTGGACCTATCAAGCAAAAGTGAAGTTTTACACCTTTTGCAGTTTTGGTACAATTATATTCAGACCATTTGGGGGAAACTTTTTCTGTAGCGTTAGATTTTTATCAATGCATTTTAAGATTGATTTTATAACAAACTTCTTATTTTAACAGATGGGACTGTCTTATGCTTAGTTGGAACAGATTTCAAGTTAATACTTTAGGAAGGAATTATATTATTAGGAAAGAATTATAAATAATCTTTCTATGAATCTGTCTTTATCATAGACTTGAATTTTCTTTTGGCCTGTTCTCACTATGCTAAGTTCAAAGAAAGATACTCAGCTTTAAAATAAGCGAAGAACCATGTAGCTGTTAGAGCTGAGGTTGGCTTAAGTAGTGTCCCTGTCTACTCTTTCTGCTCACCACAGTTGCTTCTGATAGGTACCTAACCTATTCTGTGATTGCACTGAAAGTCTTATAGCAGTTCAGAGCAATAACTGAAACATGTAGGTTATATATAAAATGTTATATTAACTAGACTATGCTTTTTTCATTTAAATAATAATGTTCTGTCATCTAAGTTGGATAATCTTGCTCTCTTTTTGTTCAACTCGGGTATTTTCTAGCTATCTTAACCAACAGATCATATTTACATGAACCAAGCAAAAAATGATAATACATTTTTTCCATATATATCAAGAGTTCCTGTTACCAGTATTTAAATTGTTTTTCCTTTCCTGATTTTGAAAATGTAACTCTTTAAAGATGGAACTTTCTTTAATCTTGTGCWTGGTTCGTCAGGGATATGTATTATAACATTGAAGACACAAGTCAGTGATGATAATCTATCTTATGCTAAAATCCAACATACTGTAAAATAAAAAATAGCAATAAAGGTATTTTAGTCATTGTTAGTTGAAATTGGGATATTTTGGACRAAAAGCTAATTACACTGTTAATCAGAATCTCAAGTTTTTCTGCTGTTCTTGTTTTTTACTTTTTTAAGTGTTTTGAATGTGAAGAAATTGACTGAAGTGACACTGGTGTCACTGAATGAGAGTAATATGAGCTTGTTACCTATGTTGAAAGTTTATGTTGTTTTGTTAATAGTATAGCTGTGATACTCTATATATAGCCAGAAAAAGTTATTTATATAAATCATATGTCAAACTTTTTCTTTAAGTTTTACTCTATTTTAATGTGATATTATTTAGTTAGAAATAAAAATAAGTATAAACCGTTTCTTTAAACCGTTTAAACGGTTTCTTTATTTAACTTCTTATTCATGTTAGTCAGATTTGATGTAAATGAAGATTTTTATTTTTTGAGAACTCCAGTTTCTTCCCAGCTGAATATTGGAGACTGTCTCTAAATGTTGGTACAACTGAGCTGCAGACTTTTTGAAGTAGGTTATTTTTTGGTAGTAGCCTAAGCCATGGAAATGAGAATATTAGCCATGTCAGTGAACATTATTATTTGTAAAACACAAAAATTTTGTTCTCTTCTTAGGGTTTAATTTGCAGGATTCTGAAGAATGCGAATGCYAAGTTTCCCAGTGAGTTCATAAGACTGACAAAACTCTCTTTTTAAAATAATTTTGGAGAAATACCCAGAGGTTATAAAAACAAGCRAATGCTATGGAAACAGATAATTACCTGTGGAACAAAAATGAATAGCTGTAGAGCTTGGAAACAGTTCTGATTTTGACTTTAAACTTTTACATAGTTATTAATGAACTGAGCGCAGAGGCCTGTGCTAATCGTTTAGCTGACCTTTCGAGCAGCCTGGGAGGCAGAGCTAGCATAATTAATTCCTGCTTCTTACATAATAGCCATGGTTGAAGAGGCTCTTATCTTGCAGAAAATATCCAATACAGCGCAAATTTATATTGATGGAAAATCCATCTTGTAGTAAATTGCTTGCACTTCAGTAGTGCATATTTGATGGTAAGAAGCGGGAAAGTTTGGGGTACAACTTCTCCCTTTGCTGGTGGAAGATGCATGTGTGAGCAGCGAGGCAGACACCACTGGATTCTCCATAAGTTCTTGGGTACAAGTTCTCATTTCAGGGATGGGCTAAGCATCTTGCTGCAGGCAGTGTCCTCCTGACCAGTGTTCTGTAGTAACCTGGGGTCTGTTTCTGGCTGTTCCTTCTGAAGTGCAGCTCTGAGCAGCAGGTCAGAAAGGTGTCTGCATTTGTACTGCCAGCTCGAGGCGCAGGAAGGACTCTGAGGCAGATTGCAGTAGAGAAACAAGGGGACATTTTTTTTTTTTTTGAGCATGGTCCTAGTTTGAAGAAGAGAGAAAGAGGGTAAMAAAAGCTCGGAACAGCATTAGGATGTTAGAGAATGCAATAAGGGAATGATAAAATTGGTCCGTGATTGTTAGATCCTTTTTGGACTGTGAAGGAGACAGGATTTGTTGTGGATATCATCTGTGAATGCCATTATACATTTAAAACATTTACTTAAAAYCTGTGCAAAGAAGAAGGGCACTGTAGGTTTACTCCTCCTGTGAGGGTTTGAATTACAGGCTAGACCTATGGGTTGTTCCAGCTCTTGTAAGTACCAGTGGGTGCTCTAACAACTGTGGGAATGTGTAACGAATGTAGGAGCTTGACACTAATAACTTTTTTCAGTGYGAGTACAAGACTGATCTAATGATCTCTTGATTTTCTCTTTGATAAACTAAGTAGCTCGCACTCAGGCATTCTTCAGTATAAGGCCTCTTTTGTCATCCTTGAATCGTATTCATGAATCTCCTCTGAACTTTCCTCGTGTTGTCAACATCCTTCTGAAAGGCTCTGTGCAAAAACGAGAMACAGCTTTTGAAAAGTGATCGTGTGTGTCAAATATAAAAATAAAGCCTCCCTTCTCCGTCTTGATGTTCCTGTTTATATATTAGCTGTTCTCAGCACTGCGTTCTAGTGGAAGCTTCTGTTCAGCTGATTATTATCTGCCATATGTCCCTACTCTTTTATCAAAGTTGGGTATCCTCGAATTGCATGCTTTGTATAGGTGACATGTGTAATGTGCTCCTGGATGTGTATTTGCATTTCACTCCATTGAAGTGCACATCACTGGAAACGTGCAGCTTATCAAGCCAGCTCAGACTGTTGTGTGTCAGTGGCTTGTTGCCTACGTTAGTTATCAGTCTCCCAGTCTTTGTTTTTACCTACAAATACTGTCAGTGTATATTATATTTCCAGGTTATACAAAAAAAAGTCGAGTTGCGTGAGGCGAAGAGCTGAACCTCGTGAGGCCTGCTAGAAATCTGATATAACATTAACTATTCAGTAGGTGTATTCTCTTGCTGCAGCCCGACACCATGGGCTGCCTGTGGTAAAAGCTGCTTAATGGGCAGTGTGTTCCCTAGTTGTTTCATTTCACAGCCTGCCRTTTAAAATTAAATAGGTAGTGATGTGTACTTATATTAGGTCACGCTGTAAGTGCTGACCGCTGAATATCGGGTACTCTGGTTACCTTTCCCATTCCCCTGTGCCCTGCAGCATAGGGTAGAGATGGGCAGCGAAGYTCCAAACCTCAAAGAACTTGTGAACCTAAATCAAAGACACTTGCTTATGGTTTACACTTAAAATGCACCTTCTTTAATGAAGTCTTGCATTTTTTGTTACGTTGTTTCGCTTGGGATTGGTCTGTGACTGGCTACAATTATGTAGTTCATCCTATTGCAATATTGGAAAAACTTGGTAATCTCTCTAGTATTGCAGGAATTACTGATAGTTTGCACTATAAATTTCTTGTTTGCTCTTCACCACTTTTAAAACTTTTTAAGCTTAAAACTTGCACCTTCAGCTGTGTAGAACACAGAAACAGTTGAATCTGTCTAAGTGGGATGAAAATAACTTATTTATTTATTTATTTTCAAAATTGCATTACTGATTGTATCTGCAAGGCAGAATCTCCGTGCTGTGTATCTGCATCTTTACACAAGCAAAACTCTGCACTGGCGATATAAGTTCCTTACTTTGACCCAAAGAAGTTATGCCAGTAAAAGTAGCTTTAGGTACTTTCTTGCTTGTATGTGACATTGATGTTTGTCAGAGAATGCTCTTCATTGTGCTCTTTGTGAATATGATTATGTATCAACAAAAGCACCTGCAGATGTAGGAATGTTCAGTACAACTTGTTCGGGGAAAAAAAAATGTCAAAAGGATGACTGTCAGAAACATTATTATGTATTCTCATGAAATATCACCATTTTTAAACTGAGGTTCCTAAACTCTGGAGAAAAACTGCTGAAAACAAACCCTCATTTAGGAGATCCCATATAACACTGAATTTGTAGAAGTCTGTTGATCTGACTAATTTTTTTTTGCATTTGTTTTATTTTGAAAAGCTTTTTTGTTAAGCTCTGCTGATGGCATAAATGGAACAGTTAACTGGAAGACTAAGCAAGCCAACAGTTATATTATCAGCAGAATAAAGGCTGTTGAGAAGAATGGTGAGTTTAGGTTGTAAATTTAAATCCCATGTTGGTTCAGTCAAAGCTGCTTTTAATATTCTTGCTTTTCCAGTTATGTCCTTGTTTTAGGAATAAGGTGGTACTTAAAGGTAAGTAATTTTGAAAAACTGCTTTTCTTTCCCCAGTATTTTAAACATTTAGACCTGTGTGTCTTCTGAGTTTTCCCCAGCTTTTTCTGTTGCAGCTATGGCTTTGCTTGAAGTAATGGCTGTATGCACAGTCTAATCTTGTGCGTTTTCTTATTGCTGCCTGGAAATACCTCTGCTGTAACTTCTCTATAACAATTTTTAAAATTGTTCTATGTACGTATGCAAAATACTATTTTTTTGTCATTTGTGAAAGTACACATAGAGTATTGTAGCTACTGTATACCAAGTGGTAAGAAAAATGCATGGACCAACAACTCAAGTTATTTCTGGGCTTGTACTTCCTCTGTAAAAATCAGTGGGGAGAGATTCTATAGAAATAAGCCAGAGAAGATTTCCACGCGGATTTTTTTCTGGAGGTCATCAACACACAAGACTCCAATCAACACAGGAGGTCTTCTAAAGTTTCTGGAGTCTGGGATTGTCCTTATGTGATAAAGGAGCCCTAACATATGGCTGTTTACAGTTTATGCCATGGACACTGACAGAATCCCAGATGAATTTTTGCTTGTGGTCAAGGTTACAAGAAGGACAACAGGGGCAGTTTCTCCACATGATTCAAGAAGAGCAATGTGTATTTCCTAGTCTTTCATTTCYAGGCTGTTCACTTCTTTCTCAAGTCTCCAGATTTCCTGACCTCTATTTGGTTAGGTCTTGGTATCTTCAGAAAATCTTCTAAAGGATCTAGAAGCAACGGAAAAAAAATGCAGTGCTGTCAAGGTAGCCAATATTGTCTTTTTTTACAGTTTTGTTTTGGTCCTATATATGACCATTAATGAAGAAATAGCCCATGGTTAATTAGTTGGATAGAGTCTTATCACAGGTCCCCAGGATTTTAGGTGCACAGGGAAGATCTCCAGGTGATCCATGTTGTCTATCTTCCTTATTATACTGGTATCTAGAGGTTGGTAAGCCCCGCTGTTTCATCGCTTGATTAAACATTCATCTCTAGTTTAGGCAATCTCATGAAAATTACTGTGGGTTTTAAAAACCTGAAGGGAACAGCATTTMATTTATAATTTCATTCTTGAAAAGCAATGATTGCTGTAGTGGGCTGAAGACTCRTGGTTTTCGTTGTGATTTTGAAGGACCCCCACTGGGGAAAAAAAAACCTTCTCTGACAAAGGCAGAGAGTTTTCTAGTTGTTAACCTCCAGATTCATATAATTACAATGTATTATTTGCTTACCTTCACAGAATAAAGTCCGTTGGTTTTTTTTTTCTTTTTTTTTTCTTTTACATCTGAGTGGAATTTTTAAACTTCCACCAAGATCACTGCCTTATGTCTGGCTGAAGGCCTTGTTAGTTTACTTATATCAGCTATAGAACGTGTCTCATTGCTTGGCATATGCAAGTGGTTTCCAGTAGATTTCCTGTAAAAGACATTAAGTACATGGATTATAGAGTAATTTTTCCTTCAGTAGCTGCTGATTCCATTATCCTTTTTTCCTTCAAATATATCATTTATGAAGAAAATATATTACTTTTTCACTCTTTCTTCTATTTGAATTGATCTTCCATAAATCAGAAATAGGAAAATAGATTTTTCTTTTTTARTATTTTATACATCTTCACCCAACCACTCTATTTTTTTCTCAGATTTCCTGTCCTGYGAATAATCCTATTAATGTTATAAATTATTTTCAGCTTTTTTTTGGAAAATATTTTAAGGGAATTAATTGATTTCCTTGATGTATATATAGCTCATACACAAAAGTGAATACAAAACTTTTTTGGGGTCAATAACTTACTAATTTTAATTCTTTAAACATCACATAGCTCTAAGTTATTGTAGTTAAATTAAGCCTACRTAATTAAAATTAACTGCTTTATTAACCACAAATAATTGAAATAAACTATATTTAAATTTCAAGATTTGTTTTACAGTTCAGTACTGTATCAAAAGCACTTTCAAAATAGGGAAACGGCAGCTCTGAAAAGCAGATCATTGTATGTGATCATGAGTATGATTGATGGCAGGATGTTTTAATGTTACAAATAGCACTAAATGTCTAGCAGGAGAGATAAGAACTACTTTTTCTTGTTAATTGAAATGATTTTTAATTTTTTTTTATGGGAAAAAAAGATCGACAGACCTTGTATATGCCAAGAAATGAGTCAGTGGTGTTTTGTGGAAGCTTTCCTGCTTTAGAATGGGATCAACAGCGTGTTGAGAGCTTGAGGCTGCTAATCCAAGGAGATCCAGGTGGGGTTTCCAGGAGGGACGGGGTGCGGAGGTCCCCGCTGGAGCTGTGTGCACCTCAGCCGGGCGGCCTGTGCCGCCAGCCRAGCTCTGGGCAGCGCAGCCAGAGGGATCTGGGACAGTGATTCATCTCGTTTTACAGGAGAAATCAAATTAATCAACCCTTAGAAGCCTCTCTTTCTCTCCACTGACCATAAAAGGAGCTTAACTAATTCCACTGTGGATATTGTTTCTGTGGGCATCTAAAATTAGGTGAGTTAGATTCCACCCTGAGTGCATGGCACAGGGGATGGGATGTCCCTGATTAATGCCTAGTTAGCCAGGCTTCTTGAGCACATCCCAAATAGGGAGGGTGGCACAGTGAAAAGTTTGAAAAGCTTTATACCACCATGATATAACGGTATGAACTTGACAGATGTGTTAAATCTTGCTTATGGGCAGATGAGAGTGTTGAGATTGGCCCTTCTGTGCCCTCCGGGAGAGGCTGTTGGGAGAGCGGCGCCGCCGCCTGGGCTGTGCGGCCTCGTGCCCGAGATGGCCGCCSGAGATGGCTGCCCGTGTGGCCCCTTTCCAGACAGCAGCGGGTGGCTGCGCGTTCCCCTCTCTGTGACTTACCTGTATTTACTGCTTTTCTAGTCATCATTTCCTTTACAAACTTATCAGCAAAAACTGATTCTTTCAGGTCATTCATGTCAAAAAAAAAAAAAAAAAAAATAGTGTGATCCATGTGAAGAAAAGTAAGCAGTCCTCTGAGACTCCATGACACACATGTGTCAGATCGGAGTTCTCCATTTATGCTAAAGTATGCCCCTGGCAACTGCATTTGTAATTACATAGAAAATAACTTACATAGTATTCAGCTTGTTCTGAGCTAAGTTATCCTTTATTTTTTTAGTTTTGAGGTCCCATAAAAGTGGCTTTGATTTTTGGTTTGAAGTTAGTGTCACTTCCCGTTCCCTTTTCTGTATCCTGTTTCAGCACAACCACAGTATCTTCAGTAAAGAGCYCTCTAACCAAAGTTTTAAACCTCATGGATGTAGGATGTGTGTGAGCCTGCTATTCTCAAAAAGTCTAACTYTAAGAACTCATACAAATCTTTAGGTATTCTTGGGACTGAAAGTGTATCATCAGCATTACCTGCTTCTGTGAGGCATTTCCATAAATACAAAATAAAAATATGTACTGCATTGCTTTGTCCTTCTTTGTACTAGAACTGAAAAAGTCATCTATTTTCTTTCAGTGAGGAATCAGTACCATTAGTAAGATTTTTCTGTATTCCTTGTTTTATTGTTAGATATCTAGAAAGATGACTATCATTCTGTTGCTGTATTTTCATTGTATATGTAACAATAAAAAAAACAATAAAAGTACAATTGACTTCTTTTTTTATTGCAATAAAAATAACTAGCTTGCACAATGTTTGAAATTCTCAAGTTGGCTGCATTGTTTCTTGAAATATTGGAAGGAATCCTAACAGCCAAAGAGAGGACGTGGTCTGCATTCTGTCCTTAAATCCCTGCAACCCTTTAAAAAACTTATTAACAGGTATCTAATATTTGTGGCTTTCCTTTTCCCAGTTACCAACACTGCCATTGAAATGCATGCTGTCTTATCTAGAGCATGTCTCATTTTTGCCTTTTTCTGTCTCTTTTCTTTCCTTCTGCTTTTCAGTGTACACGATTCTGTCTAAGGTGCACTCTGATCGGAATGTATACCCTTCTGCTGGAGTTCTTTTTGTTCATGTTTTGGAGAGAGAGTACTTTAAGGGGGAATTTCCTCCTTACCCAAAGCCTGGTACGGGATGCTAAGATTTTCCATGTTACATTGTAAAAAAAATTAAAAATTTCTGATTTGTAAGCATACTTTTTAAAAGGATGCATATAACTGTATGCTRAATAATTTATTTACTAATTTGGGATCTGTAATTAATTTGTAGATCTGAAATTAGAAAAGATATCTCTTCTTCACTTTCTCATTAAACCTGAAATTGTGGAAGTTTAACTGTAGTGTTAGGAAAAAAAAATGCAACAGTTTTGTTAAAAATGCCATTTAGAGCAATATTTCAATTTCAGGCATAGTATATATCAGTATATATTAAGGAACACTTTGAAGGCATAAGTAAACTTGAAACAAGGTAGAAAATTAAACATGAGAATACAATGTTTGCCTTCAATAAAAACAAAAGCTCCTCTTGAATCAGTCTTCTTTCTGTATTTAGTAACTGTTTACTCTTATTAAGTAGCTTGTTTTGAGAGAAAGTGCTGTGATTTCCTAAGTATTGTGTTTTGACTTGCAACTAAGGTAAATGCCAAAAGGGTAAATCATAAGAAATTTAAATGATACATAAACAAGGTAGAGAGGAAAGAGAGAACATTTTCCCTCCTTGTCTGTCAACATTGAAAGCTTTTATGGGAAGGCTGTAATACAAGGATAGTGCATGCATAATCAAAAAGTATTGTTCATTAATAAGCTTTTGAAATGATTTGGGAGTACCATTTTCAAAATTCACTTTTCATTTTGCCTAGGTGAAGTAAGTAATGATCCTATAACATTTAATACCAACTTAATGGGGTACCCAGACAGACCTGGATGGCTACGCTACATACAAAGGACACCGTACAGCGATGGAGTTCTGTATGGCTCACCAACCCTAGAAAATGTGGGCAAACCAACCATCATTGAGGTATTTTCTGTCATAATTTCAAAAAGATTTGTTTTAGAATATATATATATATATATCTCAAAATATGCAGCAAAAAGCCCTTTTGTGAACAGTTGTACTTGACAAGTATCTGGATTCTAAACTTCCCCCTATGTATCTATATTCATGCAACTGATATTCCAGAGTATTCTTCCTCTTTATTGAAATCCCTTTAAAGAAATTAAAAATCTATTACTTTTTTTAATAATCAATCTCACAATGCTTTACAGCATTATTTACTGGGAAGTGATGTAGACACCTTAGTCACTGCTTTGCCTGTTTTCTATGACTGAAATGAGTGAACTAAACTRTAAATTAACTACCAGAAGGTAGTCTGGTTTTGTTTATGTTGTGAAACGTTTCTCACCTTTTAGGAATTAAAAAAGTGATAGTGCTGGTAACAAACCTCATTCCTTCCTTATTTTCATAAATGCGAATGTAATCAAAGTAGAACTTGGGAGGAGAGTCGCACAGTAACCACTGAGGACGGTGTTTGGCTACTGCAAGTATTTCAGGCCTTCCATGCATGTAGATCCTTGCATAGACCAGCAGAGGCGTAAGTTTCTGAAAGTAAGAGGCATGAATGATGTATCTGCCCAGTACAGTTAYAGATTCCAGGATATTGTGTCAAACTACTTATTTTGGAGTAAAGCTTATGAATACATGCATGGAGTATGACTTGACTATGTTTAGAATTAAATCTAAACTCATATCCTAAAGGTTGTTATTCCTGGGATCCCAATAATTTTTCCTTTAAATGTTTCTTATTTGATCAGTTTCCTGGGAGCTGTCAATGACTTTAGAGCTTGTGCCCTTGGAAGGAGAGGCTGGAGGGCAGGAGGGGAATGGAGAAACCCATCTCTGCTTATGGTGTTTCTGAATCAAAGATCAGAATAAAGGATATGCATATATGCATGATACGTTCTGCACGTATGGCAGAGCACTCGTTTCTGGATCAAAATATATCACATTCACACATATCCATACGTAATTAAATTTGGATATAGGTTGTATCTAAAAAGAGTACAGTATTTGACTTGAAGGTAATATCAAATACATGTGTTTTATCTTTCAAATGTATTAATGATTTGATACATTTCAAAAAAAGGAAGCAAAATGCGTTCAAAGTCAAAGCGTTTTTGATTTATCAATATAATATTCMTTATCTTACTGTTCCATAGACTTGATTCTCATATTTGCTATTATACAGTTTTCCTATTTTTTTTTACTACTGTATCTTTTTCATTCTAGATCACTGCGTATAACAGGCGTACATTTGAGACTGCAAGACATAATTTGATCATTAATATAATGTCAGCAGAAGGTATGTACAGGAAGAACTTCCTCCATTTGAACTACAGAAGCAAAAAAATATGGCTTTTTTTTTTTTTTTTTTTGTTTTTTTTTTTTTTTTTTTTTTTTCTGCGTATAACAGGCGTACATTTGAGACTGCAAGACATAATTTGATCATTAATATAATGTCAGCAGAAGGTATGTACAGGAAGAACTTCCTCCATTTGAACTACAGAAGCAAAAAAATATGGCTTTTTTTTTTTTTTTTTTTGAGAAATAAAATACTGTGAAATAGTTCTCCAGTCTTTAAGTGAAATGTAGAGGCACAAAGGGGAAATGAGAGCTGTAAGACTATCATCTGTTATTCATAAAAATGTCTATTGCGTTTTTGGGAATAATTTCCAAAATTTTTCTGTTTTCAGGAGCAGGCCTTACACAAAGATATTTTTCTTTTTGCTTTTTTTTATATACAAAGAATAATTATAAGTGTATTTTAGAAGGACATCCAGTATTCATACTGAAGGACAAAGATTTTATAAGCAACATGCTACTATTTTTCATCTCCTTTGTTGGATTTGAGATTCAATTTTTCAAGCAGAGGGTAGAATTTATAGACAATAGCCCAAATTCCCAATAGCATTAGYGGGTATTGCTCTGTTAAATTAAATTTAGCTGTCCAAATATGTCTTCAGCAGCAGAGTTGGCATTCTGAAATGGTATCACAAGGCACCAAAGTGCATTTTTAATGTCTTTATGAGAGAATGAGTTTTGTAATAGAAAATGCTTCAGGACAGCATTGACCTTAAAGATTCTCCTTGCCCTGGCTCTCTCCCCATTTGTAGTGACTATTTCTTTTGACATMTAAGAACAATTCTGACTAAATTATCCAAGTACTGCATTTCTCTTATATTGTCATAAATCTTGATCTTCAGTGGTGCTAGTGCTGCCATATGGTGCTGCTGATGTTATTTGACACAGTGGATTTGAATCCCAAGACGTAAGTAGTCATCAAGATTAATTAGAAAGGAGAATGAGAATTAAACTGTGCTTCAGCTAGGTATTCCATAGTTATGTGAACAATACACATGAGATAGGAAGGTTAATAAGAAAATGCTTTAAAATGGGCTAGGTTTTGGTGGTTTTCCTCTGTTTCTTTGTTTTTTGCTTGCTTTTAGGTATTTATTTTACCTGTTACAGACTTTCCACAGGAATTGTGCAGTTAAAGTCTTGTATTCTAATTTTCTGATAGCGAGTTTTCTACTTTGTCAGTATTCTTATAATATTAGCAGYTATGCTTTTTTCTGTAGAATGAGTCAAATATGTTTTTTTCAGCTGAAACTGTTCACCAGATATGACACAAGCCCTGTGTTAAGTCTGGGGAAAAATATTCTTTTTGGGGGAGGGTAGACGGGGGGGAGATTAAACAGAGAGTAAACAGCAGAGTAAACAAAGCTCTGGAATTAAGCAAGCCCCACAAGCTTCATGTAGGGCTGCAACCACCTCAGCCATACCCTGATTCGTGTGTAGACAAGGCACAATATAGCTGTTCTGAGGTGACTGCCTCACCCCTGGGTGTTAGAACTGATAGTCCATATCAATTGGGCTTCATTTTAAAAGTTGCTTCTCTGTTAAACAGATAGCAAGTATTTCAGCTTTCATATCTGAAAAGGAGATGGGAATTTAAGACCACCGAAGCATTGATATGCCTGAAAATGCAGCACACATCCAACATCAGGAAGCTAACGTGGATTTTTCAGGGGAGTACGTTGTCATCTTCAGGTTCAACCTGAAATTGCAGCGTTTTGGATTTGCATCCTTGAAATCTCTGAGAGCAGTGTCTACGTCATTGAAAGTTGGAATCGGTTGTCACTGCAGGTCACAGTTTTGACCCCAAGTTTACCATGAATGTAATTTTATCTCTTTAATGAAGATTAAAACAGCTGAGAATCTCATTCTCCAGTTCCTGTCCTCATCRGCCAATTGCCTCATAAATTGCCAGTGGCTTTCAGCTTAAGCTAATGGTGCTACCAATGCTTAATTAAACAAACATGATGGGATTAGGTTTAACGTGAGCTAAATTAAATTAAAAGGTTTCTGGAAAGGGATATCAGTCTTAAGGAAGGTGGCATTGAATTAATAGCTAATATAAATATTTTATTATGAAGCCTTCATTAGAGGCAAAACTCTCTCTTCTTTGCAACTAGATTTTCCTTTGCCATATCAAGCAGAGTTCTTCATCAGGAATATGAATGTAGAAGAAATGCTGGCGAGTGAAGTCCTGGGAGACTTTCTTGGAGCAGTGAAAAACGTGTGGCAGCCGGAGCGCTTGAATGCTATAAACATCACTTCAGCCCTGGATAGGGGAGGGAGGGTTCCCCTTCCTATCAATGACATGAAAGAGGGGTAAGCATGTCGTGCTGACATTTTTATTTTTTTCTTTCTAGCAGTTCAAATTATGTCTTAGTGAAATGCTTAGTATTTTCCCAGGCTTTCTAGAAACGGTGCAATTAGTGTTTTATGCTGAAATCCAGGTTGGAAATAGATACTGAAGGTAATTAATTGCAAAACTCCGTGCAGGTAAATGCACTTATTTTGTAATTCCAGTCTTCCCTACAAGCAGTTGTTTGGYATGCTTTCAACTAAGCAGCAGTTTTTGATTCGAAAAACCCAAGGTTTTGGGACAGGATGTGCTAGAACATAGGGGCAAAGTCACTCAGATTGAGCATCCATCACTGTCACCTGTAGTCGCGCCCCTAGTGCAGTCTGTGATCACGAGTTCTGTGTTTCTGGAACACCATGGACTGTTGGAAATGATAAGCTGAGATGTCTGGGGAATTTATGTTACTGAGTGCAGAGTGCAGGAATTCCCTGTTTCCAGCTGTGATTCATAATCCCTGATTCTGTTCTGAAATATGAAACTTCTTTAGAAAATAACTAAAATGGATATGGTAGCACTTTTTCCCTTGGAAAAATACAGGTGTCTAGTGATTTTTAGATATTTTAGTGTCAAATAATAGCTAMGGGAGGTAAATACAACATGTGCATGGAGCCCTTTTGTGCATGTGATGTTGCTGAACACATCATCTAAAGAGGGAAAGCAACTTTGCCAGTGCATATCCTGTAGTACAAGCACCATACTAATGCCAAGTGGCTGAGCAGATTTATATCTGAATTTTATTCAAACATTTAGTCAGAGAATGCCTTATATACCAAATGGCAACCAGGATCTGATTTCTGTTTCAGGATCCATTGATACAGTGTTATGTACTACAGCAGCCTTGTTTATTTTGCAGCAGCATCCTACGTACCTAAGTATGAAAATGAGTAATATAATCAATTAAATAGCCCTTATTTTATTACTTATGTATTTTTTATAATGCTAAGTATTTTTTTACAGCCCCTTTCAATATTTTGCAAATTTTGTTAGTAGTACAGCTGGAGTATGGAACCTTTCAAGAGAGACTGGAGACTCTAAGAGGTTCTTATTAGTATTAGGTTTAGAAATATTAGTTCTCCTTGTTTGTTTGTTTGTTGTTAAAACCTGGGAAGAAATGCTTTAAAGATATTCCACTGAGCAAAACTGATAAAATCTTGCTGTTCAGGCATGGTTTTCAAAAGTAATATTATTTTTCACTTGAGGGATCTACAGCTGCAACTCTGTGACTTTCTAAAAGCTGAAGGCCTAATGTTAAGCAACCTTTACATTATGCAGCCAGAATAAATGTTAAAAAGTAATTGTAATAATCCTATGTTGGAATTTTTGATTCCTATGTTTGGATGATATCTACTATTAAGAAGAAAAAGTTCTAGTCTTTAAAACATCCCTGATTATTATTTGAACAATGATAATCTGTGGAAGGGTAGGTCACTGTCGCTTGGGTGCTTGTGAGAGGTTACCTGACCCTGTGTCCCTGCTCTCTTGTGCAGTGTGTATGTTATGGTCGGCGCAGATGTCCCTTTCTCCTCATGCTTGCGAGAGGTTGAAAACCCACAGAATCAGTTGAGATGTAGCCAGGAAATGGAGCCTTTAATAACCTGCGATAAAAAATTTCGTACCCAGTTCCACATTGACTGGTGCAAAATCTCCTTGGTGAGTACTTTTATTGTTGCATGAAAATGATGTTTACAGAAGTACATTATCTTGTGCCAGACATTATTTAGGAAGGAGTTTTTCCAGCCTGCCAGAAACAGTTCTGCCAAATTCTACTTCATTGTGACTGATCAGTCATTGTGACTGGCCAGCAGTGAAACCACCAAGTTCATTTTCAGTAGTGGTGACTGATGTAAATGGCTCAAGAACTCTAAGGCTCACAGAACTAAGAGCAATGCAAGAATTATTTAGGTAAGCATAGCTAATCAATTCAACAACAGCTCGTTGTACTTGCTTTCTTAAAAAGTATGTACACATATATATTTTCTCAAATATTGAGTCTACAGAACCGAGTAGATAAATGGTATTTTTGCGTTGTTAAAAAGCTTTCTGAAAATTGTCTAAAATACATTTTGTTTTAAAAGTGTCTTTCCTGTAGGAGAAAAAAAAAGTGTTTTTTTTTTTTTTTTTTTTTTTTTTTTTTTTTTTAACTAGTGATATCCAAATAAATGGGAACACTCTTCTCAAGTCAGTCAAATACAGGAAAAAATGGTAACTGAAAACAATACTATTTACTGTGAAAGGAGTGTAATTCACAGAGAAGCTTTTAGAGTTTATTTTTGTTTAGTTTTGACTAGGAAAATGAGGGACTGATAGATTGTTGAAAGACACCATTGCAGATAACTTTGAACAAAGACGGTGAAGATATATAAAATAAACTCCTTAGATGATTGTTCAGATATTACCCCAGAGGAAACTGAAAAAGAGATAYGATGAAAGGTTTTTATATTATGTAAAAATATGTTGAATATCACAATTGGTATTCCTGTACACAGTCCATTAGACGATAACCTCCAACTCTCTTCATACATTATGAATTAGGAAAGCTCTTTGATAGCTAGAAAATGATACTTGTTGTTGAAAGAATACCCACATCATTTACCATTTATTGTTTTTCTGTTTAGAAAATGCAAAAAATGCAGTCACATTTATTTTTAAAACCTGAAAAATCCTGGAAGGCTGAACGGCAGGTAGCTTTTGTCAAGGACAGATTACAAGTCATGGCTTTCCTCTGCAGGACAGGGGTAGGGAAGCAGCTGTAGATGTCATCGCTTTTTGGTACAGTCTTTTCATAAGTGTCTCATAGCCAAGTTGAGAAACATGGTCTACCTGAAGCTACCATGGACGTAGTGCAAAACTGGTCGGTTTGCCATAATCAAAATAGAGTTATTAATCATTTCCTGCTRTTCTTCGTTCATAAGCTGGGTGATGGAATGTGCTTATTACATGAATTTTTCAGCCCCGTGAAATGGAAAAGGAACAAGTGCATTGAAGGACAAGGTCAGAATTCAGAAAAATCTTGAGAACTTAAAAAATGAATTTCCAAAGAGCTAGTACACTAATGCAAGAAAAAGCAGCTATACACATGCAGAATCAGGAGCAACTAGAAGTACCTCTCCAAAAAGCAGCAGGGGAGCCTCATAAACCAGTCATGAAGCAGCAGTGTCACGGTGTTCTGAGGAGGGCACCGATCACCCTGGGATGTGCAACAGAGCCAGACTGCCCACGAGAAGTGTATTTTTTAAATTTATTTTTGCAGTTCAGCAGTGTAGAGGGCAGTCACCTCCCCTCTTGAACTCGGCGCTGGCTTTGGCAGCTGAATTTAAGCAGTGCTAGGGGCGCTCGCTGCTGCCAGCGGCCTCYTCGCTGCGAGCCCGTGGATGAAGAGGAATATGGAGCCAAGCTTCCCTCCGTCCGAGCACAGGCTGCTTTTCATCAGGCAGAACGAGGGCCAGGAGGCCCCGCGAGATCTGTGGGGTGAAGGCAGAGAGCTCCATTCCCCACAGCCACCGCACAGGCCGGCGAGGGAGAGCGCAGCCRCCCTGTCCTCTGCCTCCCGCTCTTACGAGGTGACTTTGGCAGTAAACACCTGAATCAGCGAGTGGGTTTAGGCTCCTGAGTCCTAAAGCTTGAAAAGAGATGCAGCTTAATAGTTGCTCTTGTTGGATAGCTTAATCTCGCTGTGTTTATTGAGCTTTTGCCAGGGGATGCCTGACATACTAAGAGGTGCCTATGTCTTTCTTACACATTTACTTAAGGCTTGAGATTCCACTAGGGAGCCTAGTGGAACTTAGSCTAAGTCATAGGCAGTGCCCAGTGTACCTGACCTAAAATACCCTTTAGCAGTTAGTAAGTGGGGAAACATAAGTTAATTTTTGTCACACCATCTTGTACTTAAAAATATAGGTATCCGAAGCTCAACAAAGTATTCTTGCTTGTATTTTGTGAAAGACTTTTCAACCACTGCATATTTTATAATGCATCAAGGCACAAATTGAAGGGTAAATTATGGAAAAATAACCACCCACTGTTATTTGGGGAGATAATTCAGAAATGGATGAACGCGTCGAGAAGGGATCAGTATCAAGTAACTAGGTTGCGGTAGAAAATGAATTTTTGCTCTCATACTGTCTGTGCAAGATATCTCTAATCCKTAAGAAACAGAGTATCTGGTAGGCAATAAAGTAACATCAGAACAATGTTATAATAATAACTATGATACTAATTTTCAAAGGAAAAAAAATTCAAAGCAGTATGAGGCCTTACTGTTCAAAAAAAATAATAATAATTGGGCACAATCTTCCAGAATTTGTGAGATGTTCTATAACATGGATTATTCTCTATGCTTTGGTTGGTTGAATGCTTTCTGTTTTTCCATCCTATTAATTCACTATATAATTGTCCTTTTTTTCTTTCCCTCCCTCTGGGCATCAGGTTGACAATACCAAACAAGTGTCCACCTTCCAGGAGGTGATTCGTGGAGAGGGGATATTACCCGATGGAGGAGAATACAAACCTCCTTCGGATACCCTCAAGAGCAGAGACTATTACTCGGATTTCCTGGTGACGCTGGCGGTGCCCTCGGCAGTAGCACTGGTGCTTTTCCTCATTCTTGCCTATATCATGTGCTGCCGACGGGAAGGAGTGTGAGTACCTTAACATGCTAACCAGTGCGTGTAGGTTTTTCTAAGATTCTCATGCCTAGAGTACTGCTTGTTGGAGGAACTCTGTTCAGTTCATAAAAAAAAAAGTTAAACCAGCCCAAAAATCTGTAATTGAAATAACGATCTGTTTCTTTTCTAACCACATACAGTAATTTCCAAGAGAGTGGCTATAGGGGCTTGAATTGCTTTAGTTGAAAGGGTTAAAATTCTCCACATACCCACCAAACAAATAAAATAACAATAAAGGATAGTTGATTTAGGAGAACTAAGTAATTTCTAAGATGCTAACTTAAATTAATCTCGTTGAGGTTATGAACTGTATTTAGACATATTTTAAAAGAGAATAACATAAAAAGGAAAGCAGCAAGTAACGTAATTTCTGCCATTTCTTACATGAACTACAATTTCATCTTGTCACAAAATTTATTTTAGCCAGAAGCTTGTTCCTTAACTTGCATTTTCATCTCTGCCTGTGTGTGTCTGTCATCAGTATCACATCTTTATATGTGTGTTCATCAAGGCCTTGTCATAAACCTGGTTGCAAATGCTGCCAAGTTGCATTTAGCAGTGACATTGTCAGCATTTCCACTTCATGTACTATTTTCATCATCAGATAGACTTAATGTTCCAACTATCAATGCTATTATTTAATTCATAAATTTTGTTTTGTTTTTAGGGAAAAGAGAAACATGCAAACCCCAGAGTAAGTGTCTTCTTTCCTGTTATTTTTCTTTTCACATCTAATTTTCATGCTCAGTAGCTTGTCATGCTTCATACATGTGTGTCATGATCTTCTTTCATCCTCTTTAATCATGTTTTAATTCATAAATGTGAAAGCTGCTTTTAAAACAAAAGTTTGCCAAGGATAGAAGAGGACATTAAAAAGGGTTTGAAATTAACTACTATCAATTCAACATAAAATAGTTCTGTTAGAATAAATATATTAATATGTAATTTATTCTCTTGGTTATGGTACTTCCCAGTCTGTATCTTAAAAGGCAGAGAACCGAGGAAAGAGTGTTATAAAATTAATCTTTTATGAGTATTTATGAGTCTGCCACAAGAAGCAGGAGTTATGAAAATGTTTATTTTAACAGCAGSAAATAAATGGAATATTAGCAGTAAGCTGTACAGTCTTGGACCCTGTCCAGCACTTCTCATCCAGACAGCAAAGCTAATGCAATAGTTACTGCCTTCAAAATTAAATAGATCCTCTATTACATTAATTATGTTAATCTAAAGATTGACTGTAAGTGCTGTGCTTTTGAGTAGGTAGCATACATCAAAATCCTTGTATTTTAAAGTAGTGATCATCAGCCCATTTAGAGCACTGAAAGCGCGTGTGTCTTTACTGTCTGGTCTCCCTGTGCCACAGCATCCAGCTGGTCCACCACAGCGCTATCCAGAAGTCCACCAAGGAGCTCCGTGACCTGTCCAAGAACAGGGAGATCGCCTGGCCCCTCTCCACGCTGCCCGTCTTCCACCCGGTGACGGGCGAGGTGGTGGCGCCGCTGCCCGCCGACGCCTACGACCACACCAGCATGCCGCTGATGCAGACCCAGCAGTGAGTGCTCACGTTCTTTAAACACTTACAGCAGCCACCCTGCACARTGTAACTCGTCTAGTTAAAGTCAGTTAAGGTCTAGCGGTGGTTCTCTGCGTGTGTTTGTAATGGGTGCCTCTGCTTTACCTCTGCAGTTGGAGGTGGCTTCCCTGCTTGCATTTCAAGCAGAAGTAGGACCTTCTGTTATACAATTAAATGGCTGGAGTTCAGTCTCCGAGCTGGGCTAGAAACGTTTTGTGGTGCAGTTACATTGCTGCGGATTTTAAAGAAATCCTGCCTTTGGGGGAGGAAGCAGTYAAAATGTTCAGCTTTAGAAATTCTGCCTCATTTCACTCACGTCTTTGGAGTCCCAGCATAAAACTACCACTCAGCCCATAAAATGCAGACTCTGCAAGTATTCAGTCATGCACCTGTCATGCAGGGTTTATACTTGAAATGTTAGCATTGAACAGAGGAGCACATTCCATTACAGAGATGATAAATACAGCTTACCAAGGAAAATGTGCAGAGCTCGCTCTCAACCGTTTCCATTGCTGCCAGCTTCTCTCCAAAACAGAAACCAGGAAAATATTTATTTCTGTTTCTTGGAGTTTGTTTCTTAGAGTTGGGAAACTTTCATATAACTCCAGCTCGTCRGTTGTAATTCAGAGAAGCTGGCAGGGCTTTATTGAGGAAAAAAGTCACGTTTTTAGAAAGCTGCAGTTGTGTTTTCTGGAATCAAGTTGATCTGAGACAGGAGTCTGGGGAGTGACTGGCGTTACCATCCATTCYCCTTTCATCTGGTCCCCAGGGTGCCCTGTTGGTGCCTGGTGACCCTCCTCGACACTCGCAGCTCTCCTGGTTTTCCCAGTCCCAGTGATACGGGAAGAGGAGACGCTGAGGAGTGAGGGAGGTCCCTGGAAGGTGACTTGGCTGAATGTGGCTCTGCAGTCGCCAGCAGGAAAAGAGGCACCTCAGGGTGCCACAGCCCACAGCAGGACCCTGGTAGGGAACACAGCGGAGTGGGTGGCTGTTCCTCTACCTGGGCACTGTCTGCTAGTACAACTGAGCAGCCTTGTCCAGGTGTCCCTGTCAGCACAGGGTCCAAGTCATCCCTTGGAATCACRTCTGTCCAGTTTCAACTACCAAATCTGAATGTGTTAGCTGCTGGTTGCCTCATTCTGTAATCGCATCTACTCCCCTTCTAAAGCTAACTGGAAACCAGAATTACTTTCTGATGAGAGAACTGTTATTTTGGTTAAAGCACTAGCTGTGTMAAGAACAGAAAGGCAGAAGAGATTCTGATTCCATTTCCAGAAACACTCCAGCGTGGCCATTTCCTCCTTGCTCCRTGCTCACGTGGGGCCCTTGCGGGCTCTGCATTTCCAAACAGGACATAGATTGACAGGAACTTTCTAGGCTGCCAGGGAAGAAGAGGCCGCTTTGCTGCTCTGCTGCCTCCAGCAGCAACCTGCAGGGCCGGAGGCCCTGGACACGCTGCCTTCCTGGTGTGGAAACGTGCAGAGCCAGGGGGTCCTCCTTTATCCAGTGCTCTGGAAGGAACTGGATCCCTCTGCTTCACGCAAGGACAAGGGGATCCGTTAGTACGGGTAGATGKTAGCAATCGATCACAACTCTTAGGTAAAGGACAGATATGTTCATAACGGCCGGGTTTKGTAAGGCCCTCTGTGCTGCACTCTCGTGCTGGTGCTTTAGAGCCAGTCTTCGGTGCAGTTCCAAGAAGGAAATGGTTTTGTTCTGCTCTTTTAAATAATTTATTTCTTTTCCTTGTTCTTCTCTGCATTGAGTGGCTTCTGTTTCACTGTACAAGGTCTGATCAGGGGGTTGGACTAAATTAATAGACTTTCAGAAACCCGGCGTTTTGCTTTAGGGAATGCAGTAATTATTAACAATGGAGTAAATTGATATAAAATGAAATTTTCAGTGAAGTAGATGATAGCAGTAGCAAGGAAACAGTTCACTTTAACAGTCCAGATCTTGAACATATTATCCAGAAAGGAATAACTGCTACTTACTGCTATGAAATGGGATAAAAGGCAAGATTATTAATTTAAGCCATTTGTAGGGGGAAAAAAAAAGTGCAGTGAAAGATGCAGTTTCTTTTTATGCCATGCTGAAATTATTTCCTCTAATGTTTCCACAGTCCCTGGGGTCAGATGCTGATAACCTGTGTTATCTGTAGTGTTTTATGCCTCTAGCTGGATTTCGATGGGGCTCTATGACACAGTCGTGTGGCACAGTTCAAGCAGCCCCTGCTGATGTTCTTAAATACTAAGGATAAATCGGACAAGACTCCAAGTTTATTTTGAAAGCAAGAGAAGCTTTTGACCCTAACTCTATCACTCAGTGAATATTTCTGTTACACTAGAGGGTTAGCAGAGAAATTACAGTTTTCAGTGTACCTTTTGCTACGTTCTTACTGATAGGCAACATCTTATTTGTTCTTTGGCTATTGAGAAAACTCTTAGTTTAAATAATTTTAAGCCCTGTTTTGCACACCCCTGGATTCAGATACAACATTCGTGCCTTGGTAATTATGGAGCCAGGCTGGCAGTCGCATGAACTGGATGTGCTCACGTGTGAATTGCTGGATCTGAACAGATTGGGCATTTTGCAGTTGCTTTTGCAGTTCCTCCCTCTRTTTTGACAGGCAGCTGCTTCTCTGTTAAAAATAGCCATTTTTAAAATAAAGCCAAAAGTTACATTGAAAGAAACAAGGACCTATCAGGATCACAAATTTTCATCTCACTCAGTCTTTTACTTATTTTAAAACTAGAAATTTTAATTAAATAGCCAATAGCAGCTTGTTTCAACTTAAAAACAATTCCGGGTTTTAATGGTGAATATGTCTTTATACCAGCTACTTGGTGAAGTGTATTTAAGAAACTGCAGTCAGGAATAGACTTCCAGATATTACTTTCGGATGTTATTTCATACATCTGGACCCTCGTGCTTAAAACCCCTCTGCGTGAGTGTCTCCCTGTTCACGTGATTATCCCAAAGCTGGAATCCCGGCCTGGGCCGGGCCTGCAGTGTTCTTATAAGAGAAGTTCCGGAGCTGGCGCCAAGGGCCGCTCGCCTGCACTCCGGCCTCCAGTGCCTTCCTGGAATGTAAACCAGSCCTGATGCCGAGCGCCTGTTCGACGGGAAGGGCTCGGGCACGGCGCTGCTCGGTGGTGCTGGCTCATGTTCCCGCTGCCCGGCTGTGGGATCTGGGGCCTTGGAGCTGCCCGTTCCCTGCCCTGCGCTCACAGAAGCCCAGTCCTGCCACCCATCTGAACCAGCACGTGGGTCCTGCTGCCTTGCTCACGGGTGAAATTACAGGAGCTGCCCATTAACACTGCCCATTAACACGGTTTTATTTCTTTTGTTGCCTTTTCTAGCCTTTTATCAACAGCATTTATTTATCAACAACTGTGGATTATTGCCTTGTAAGCAAAACCACTGCATCTTTGAATAGAATCACTGAATTTTAATGCACAACCTCCTGTTTGCTCAGAAGCCTTAAAATTTTATTTATTTTTTTTTTGCAGGAACCTGCCCCACCAAACTCAGATCCCGCAGCCGCAGACTGCAGGTCAGTGCTGAAAACCCACTGTGCCAGTGAAGTGGGCAGTGGGCAGGGCTCACCAGCCAAGATTGGTGGGCAAGGGAGACCCTTTTCCAGGAGAGTGAAGTGTTAGAGCAGCACCCATCCAGGCTTTGGGGGATAGATGGGTGGGAAGCTGGAATAGCCTATAGGGCGAGTAGGGGAAATGCTGCAGTGGGACCCAGCWCGAGCCAGTGCAACATGGTAGAGCTAAACACTGGAAGCATAGAGATCCTTTTCTGTTTACAATGCCCAGTTATAGCCAGATTCCTGGAGACTGTTAGGAAATTAAATCTTCTTATTCCTGCCAGTGCCATCTAAGCTCCTTAAAAAGCATCTTTTTCCTTTCTGRTACTATACATAAGCAGTTGATATTTGGGAATTTGTGGGGAGAACAAGTGTCCACATGGCTGGGCTCCAGTGTCTTCCCTGTGCACCTTTTCTTGTGCACCTTTTTCACAAGTCATAGGATACTAATGGAGCCCATAGATAATCCCTGTCCAAGCATCAGGGAAAGCTGGGATTTGTTCTCTTTTAGGTATGTGTCAGATTTTAGTAAAAACATCAGTCACGTAGGGAAGAGGAAGGAAACTTTGTACTAGGAAAATGTAGAGGCCAAGGTATAACTCTGGAGCATGCAAAGGAGTATTGAGGCAAAATGCTGGAGGTGAATGTGTGCTGCAGCTCTCGGAGGAGTGTTGGGTTTAGCCTGGGCCTTACATAAGAAACTCCTGTTTTCTTCTTCATTACTGCTTCATTACCCTTCTTCTTCATTACTGCTTTCGGGGATTAAAGGAGAATTCCGTATGACAACATTTCAGAGGTTTGAGGCAAGTATATGACAGGCTTCTGCCCATGTCCTTTTTTGTTATCTGGGAATTAAAAGCACATTTCTATTAAACTGCTGGTAGTTCTACACTGTCTGATTGAAAAGCTTTGCTACGTGTGTACCTGATTATATAAGTACTGGAAATGGCAGATGACTCTTGAGGTGGCCGCCCAAAGCCCCCAGCTGCCGTTTGCATTGGGATCTAACACAGATAGATACAGAACACAAGCCAGGAAGGGTTTATTGCTTGTAGGTAACTCTGAAAAGCTTTTGTAAAACTGTATCTTAACGTCTCCCCGTGCACAATCAAAAATCTTTATGAAGGACAGTAGTTGGTAAATTCACTCCTGCCTCTTCCTAAGCTGAAAGAGCTCCACGTAGACTTTAAAATACGAAAAAGATTTCCCTTACTACTGAAAGTTTACTTCCCAGTTTATAAAATATTTAAGTATTTGGCTTGTCTTAAGATCAGCATACATCTTGACYAGAACAATCTGTATCAATACATTTATTCTACCAGGTAGTTGCTCTGGCTAAATCTGTGTTCTCTTTGTGAGTTTTTTATCTGACACCATTTTTTATTCACTGGATAGTGAGTGGTCGTTTTCTGCAGRGAGCAGCGCGAGGTTTCGGGTGTCCCGAGGATCTGGCTCTGGGTGGTTGTTGCTGCTGGAGCTTGGGATCATCCCCAGGGCAGTGAATGGGCTCCCGTGCGTGCGTTGCTTTGTAGCCCGAGGTGCTTCAGCTGCCACTGACTGTGTCGCACAGGGCCCTGTGCACCTGCACACAGGAAAAACAGACAGAAAAAGCCTTTTTCTCCATTTCCACCCCTTTTCCCCAACATCCCCTTCCCCAAACAGGAACAAGCAAAGCTTGCACAAACCCGCACCCAAATCCCTTGGTGCTTTCCCCTTGTTCGTGTCCCTTGTTGGCAGCCCCAAGTCGCTCCCGCGGGGAATTCCCGYGCGGCCGGGAGCCCCAGAGGCAGGGAACGCCGGTCCCAGCGGCGCCTCCRGGCCCGGCACCTCACTCACTCTCCGTGTGTGTTCCAGGTCAATGGCATTCCTGAGGAGCGCAAGCCGAGCCACGGCAGGCACCTGTAAGCGGAGGGGCAGCGCGGCCCCTCGGTACGGGGCACCTGTGGGGACTTTGTAACACAGAGGACGTTTTATATTTGTTACGGCGAGAAAATCATCTTTCAAATACACGTATTGGTAACTGTCAGCGTTTCTCCTGTCTCGCGATCGCACCTGGGAGCTGTAATGGGGAAGACAAAACTTCAACATAAGCAAAAAGTTCACAGGACTTCAGACTGTTCTAGGGGATGATCTAAGTGCCTCCCATTTGCAGCCCAAAAGCAGCATGGAAGTGCTTTGTGCAAAAGCGAGGCTTAGAAATTCCCCGTTTATTTGGCATTCATTTTCGAGACAAGGAAAGTGCAATGAGCCAAGTTATTTTTGCAGAAAAGCTTAACTGTTCATGGTGGAAGTTGGGGGTTTTGTTCCTCTACCATACATTTAACACATTTGACAAGATGTAAGCAATAAAATAATTAAAATCTGTCCATTCATTCAATTATGTTAGAAGAAACTGTCTCAAACTACTGTAAGCARAAATTAATGTACTTGAATAATAGTAAATTTTGTTTTAGCAAATAGGGGGTAACTAACTTCTTAGTCCCCTTGAAAATATGTTCTAAAAGTACTGTTTGTGATGAGGTTTTTTTGATGCCACGATACAATTTGACATTTTCTATCTTCTTTATTCTTCTTGAGTAAAAACACTCMCGAGGGAACCTACACCTCCCTAAACGAAGGATTATCTCTGAGGTTCTCAAAATGAACCGCAGTGGATGGTAAGGAGCTGAGGAGCTGCCTGTTGGTCAGGCCACTGCTGTTGAAGCACCAAGCAGCATCAATTCCTGAATTTCCTTTCTGCATTTCCTTACCCAAGTAGCTCCTTCCCGACCTTTGCTGACTTGGCTCGCAGAAAGTGAGACTGCCTTAGGAGAGGGAGCTTCCTGAGGCTAAGGAGAAACTGTAAAAATAAGGGTTTTATGTTATTCAYGGAAGGACCAAAGTAGCTCTGGCCTTTTATCATTATGCCCCTCCCCTTTTCTTTTTAAAAACACTCTTTAATTTCAAAAACCCTGTTGCTTTTTAAGCCAACAAACAGGGATGTCGTCAGAGCCGAAGGCAGCTCTGCTGCAGCTGATTAAGGGCTGAGATTCTTCTTAGATACTTCTGTGGGACAGATGATAGATAGAAAGTGCAGCAAAATACACAGGGCTCCCTGGGGGTAAAACACCCTCAATTTCTGTTTCAAACAGGACAAGAACAACTTTTCAACCAGGTAGCCACCTGTGAGATTAATGTATTAATTTTCAAATTGTACCTTTTTTGTCTAAGCTGTAAAAACTTAAATAGAAGCAGCACTGGGGTCTTACCCATAATTTTAAATGGAAAAGCTCCCAGGGCTCTGACACAGAAATGAATGGAATGGATTTTAAATAATGGTTCTTAATTCAACATGAGACTTGTACTGGTTTGGGATCAGAATAATTTCTGATGATTATAGACTGACTTGACAATCAGCTAAATGACACCRTTTTTACTTGTATTAATAGTCAAGAGTGCCAATATATTTAAGAGAGTTTCCTAAATTCTTCTGTAATTAGTTTGTACCATATATTTTGAAAAGAAGCTGATGCTGTAGAAGACTTGGATGTTAAGCACACCCCAGCTATTTTATGGGTAAAAGCTTCATTTATTTTAGGTAAGTKTAATGAGAAGTGATTTATTTATACTTATTAAAATGTCTGCCACGGAAACACAGATTTATAAACCTGGCTCAAGCCACTTAATTGTCCAAGGATCTCTGAACTTCATGGTAGTTCCTAGAGGAAATGCACGGCCTGTTTCTCACCCCGCGCCAGGGCGGTGCGAGTGCACTGTGAGGACGGCGGGGCCGGCGCGCCGGGGCTCTCGGWAAACACACGCGCTGCGGCCGGACGCCAGTAAAGCACGAGGACGGCGYGAGCCGCGGCGCTGCTGCAGCCCCTCTGTTCCTCCGCGCAGCAGGGACGCGGCGCCGGGAATTACGGGAATGACGGAAGGGAATGCTGAGGGGGCGCAGGGCTCCGGGGGCGCCAACCACGAGGGCTTTGGGCGCCCCGAGCGCTGCACGAGGGGTCTCCTCCTTGCAGTGCTCCCAAGCAGCCTCCCCGTGAAGCAGCCTGGGTGTCACTGTGGAGGCACGCCGCAGTCCTGACCTGTAACTTAAGACAGGCCTAACAGTGAAGTGCAGCCCAGCTAAGGTCAAACAGTGAAAGGTTTTACTCAACTGAGGCTCGTCCCATTACAAAAGTGAGCATCCACGGCACATTTATTTCATGTTTAAATTACTTCATAGCTTTACATACCCTTAAAGGAAAATATATTTATCCCGCATACAGTAATAGTAAACAAGTGCATTAATTCAAACACAAAAAATAAATCTTTTAACCAAATCTGTACAACAGATAAATAAAATTGTACCTAAAATACTTAGCTTGTGAAACAGAACCAAACAGGAAGATCCCTCACACTCRGAGTTCTCCGGTGCTCCCAGTGCTGCTGCAGGTGCTACGTGTCCTGCCCTGGCACTGGGCTCGCCTGCCCCTCTGCCACTTCTGAGCGAGCAGGGTGGCTTCCCAAGCCTTGCAAGTGCTGCCCACAAAGCCCTGCCTTTCCCTAGCTTATCAAAACAGCCGGGCAGTTTAACCAAGCTGCCCCCTGAATCCATCTTGGGCGTTGAATTGATTTTTTTTTTCCTTTTTCTGACCAACTGGCCCCATTTAACTTAGTCTCTTGCCTGAAGTGGAAGTTGGAGCTTTGCTATCACAGACCTGTCTGCACCCCTGTTTGAGCTGAGCTTGTATCCCAAGCACGCACGTGCCAGAACACCTACCGTGAAAATCAGGATTCACGGAGTTTATAGTGGTAGTGATGCTTGAGACCGACACTGCTCATTCCGAACTGCTAAGGAGTGACCCGCRGAGCAGAATGGAAGAGCAGCCGAAGCTCCAAGCGCTGTGCAAAGCCGGCCACAAACACGGGAGGAGGCATCACAGCTCCGCTCGCTCAGGGCAGCTTAAACTGCAGCCTGCCACTTCCACAGAGTGCCATTTCCTTCAACTTAGACTAAAGGAAAGAGGTAAAACCAGGTTCAGAGCTTGATTTGTGGCAATGAAGGATGGGCACCAATCCCATGGGAACTGGGAAAACAGATTCCTCCCAATACCTTGGGACGCCATCAATCTCATGGGAGACTGGGATCTCCTGGCATCTCACGYGGTTCAAAGTTGAAGAGCCTGAACTAGCTGCATGCCACAAGAAACCACTCAATCCTCATCCCAGGAGATCGGAGTGACTTCCATCCCTTTCACTGGAACTATGGCTACAGGAGAGAATATGTCACCGGGTTCCAAGTCCCCTACAAAGCCACAGGCAGGCTCAGCGTGAACGTTCCCCTGCTCTTCCTTCCCCGTGAGGTCTGAGCACGAGGTCCGAGGAGATCTYGTCACACTGAAGGATGGGAGTTTGAGACCTTCTCCACACTCAGCTGCATCCCTGAAACCCATTCACCTGTTTGTTCACTGGGTTCTACAGAGAACTGGAAAAAGTTAAATGAATTAGTGGAAAACTTATTAAAAAGCAAACAATTTTAGGAAAATCAAAATAAATTTGTCTATATAGTTTTAAAAATAATTTAATCCCAGAATTCACCGTATCTGCTGAAAATGTCTTAAAATAATAGAAAAAAAAMCACACAAAACATTATGTAAACGTGGGTATAATCTTAAATCACTAAAACAATGATGACTGTTTGTTTCAATGTATGAAGAGCTTCATATATAACACACCCCGGCTCCATCGAAAACAYGCCTTCCGAAACACGAAATCCCCATTTGTTTAGCAGAATTCCCTGGATTGCCAGAGAAGGAAGGTGCTGCTCGGCGGGAGCCACGGGCAGGGAGCACAGGGAGCTCTGTCCTGCCAGGGACGCAGCCCCGCGACGCTCCGGCCGCTGCCCGCAGGGACGAGCTGATTCCATGATCTCCACGTGGGGCTGCCAGGCCACCCCGCTTCACTTCTTCATGTTACGTTTAAGCGGATATGTAAACAGAAATGTATACCCAGTAGAAAAGACTTAATTTCACATGCATTGCTGTACAGTGCCTCCCCGTTTCTCGGCCTCTTCGAGAGGAACAGGCCATCGCCACACAAAATATGTACATGTCCCCTATATACATTTTCCACACACTTCATTTAAATGTCTTCTTGTACCTCCAGTTGATTTTTTTTTCCTTTCAGGCAGACATAAAGTAAACCTGAAGAGAGTTTGCCAGAACCCTGTGAAGTTAATGCCTTGGCTGGTCTTGAATGGCCGAGAAGAGCAGCAGTGCCGAGAAGAAGGCGGCCGCGCAGAGCAGCCTCCTCAGGAGGGTCGGGTTGTCCTTCGGAACGACGACCTGCGCCAGGTCGTTAGTGATCTGGGAGATCTCGTGCGCCACACACACGAAGATGAAYGTGCTCACCATGACGTTGAGCATGGGGTAGCCAGGGATAAGCACCAGGATGCCCTTGGTGTCTGCTGCCAGCCAGATGTGGTACTGGCAGATGAAGAGCTGGAAGAAGAAGAGACATTCAGATAAGCCCCTCACCCTGAGGACGTTCTGAGTCCCGAAGGAGCAGCCGGGGTGCTGGGCTGAGCTACCCTGCCCGGGGCTTCGCCCGCCCGCGGCACCACAGGTACAGTTCAGCACGAGCTGAACTGTCAGAACACCCTCCTTTACAATACATTTAGAACTTTTAGCTCCGTACATATAAACTCCATCACAGTGGTTTTTTTCCTGTAAGTCTACCTTTTAAAAATATCTTTTGTCGTACAGTAAAATTAAACATATCTCTACCAAACAGCAGTTAAAATGGAGAGCTAAGAACTCCCACTGATTCAAAACACACACGGCGGGAACAAAAAAGGATCCAGGTAACATCTTCAAGAATGGTTTTGCTCCTAAAATCCCATTTGTGTAGTAATGAAGCAAAGCTGTCTAAGGCAAATAAAGTTTTCCTCTGCTAGTTAGTGTAATTCCTGATAATCCTTGACCTGGCTCAAACTTTACCTGTTTTATTGCCCGTCCCAGTGTTAAATCCCCACCTCATGACCCCAAATTCAGCCCCAAACCAGCAGAGGTGACAAGACCACGACTGTGAGGCTGCTATTTCAGCTACTATTTGAAAGTGCAGAGAGAAGCCCCAGTGCTAAATAAAGGCACTATTTGGCATAATACAGCTGTGTATGATGCCATTTATGGAACAGATCACAATTTGCATGATAAAAGCAGCAGATATTCCGCAGGGGGAACCCACCGCACTTCATTCTTACCTCCAAAGAAATTTTGCCAAACCAGGCAAAGAAGGAGCTGTAGACAGAGCGGACGCACCCGGGAATGTTCCTGATGAGGATGAAAGCCAAAATCTAAAGAAAAAGGGATTGTGGGTGAAAAGTGGCCTTCAGATGGCACAAGAAAAAGCTCACACACTGCCCCTGTCCCACCAGCGTGTGGTAAGAGGATTTTGTTGAATTTTCTTTAAAATCTGAAGCAGGAAGGTGCACAGGAGCCAAACGCAAGCGGTCGGTGTGGAGCAGAGCGGCGCAGGCCGCGCGGCGGCCCCGGGACCGCGCAGCACGGGGCGGCCCCGGGACCGGCCCCTGAGCCCAGCAGCCAAAGCGGGGACTCGTGTCCCCCCAGGGCTCTGGGCTTGTCTCACTGCTGAGCAATTAGTCTGGAGCTGTTCTTGGATGCCAGCAGTGCCGGAGGGTGCCTGGAGCCCCCAGCCCTCCCCAGGCACTGTGTGCCCTTCCTGCTGTAAGGAGAACCAAATATTTACCTGCACAACRGAGACAGAAGGGTGCAGCTCATTGCAGTCCGTTTTGTTCTTACAGCTACTAGCCCAAACAGAGTAGGTCTGAAAGACACACAAATCAGTCAATGTAGCAATTACATGTAACCATCACAGGGGTAAGGTTTCAAAAGGAAGCAACCCACAAGCTATTCTGAAATGTATCAGCCCAGTCACTAAACTAGGGTATGAGACTAGAAAGAACATTGGGCTGCTTAGTTTGTGTTTCTCTCAAATTCTTCTTTGCAGCTGATGAAGACACAAAGACACAAGATGCCCTATGATACAGAAATCCTGTTACAATTTACTCAACCCAGTTAGAGGCACCAAGAGTGAAGAGCTGCATATCTACCACGTCTACCATGTTGCTCCTAGGACCTGACYTCTCTTGTGATCTTTGCAATGATCTGAAAAGGTAAAGGCATCTTCATCTACACGTGACTGAAAGGAAAAATTCTTTCAGGCAGGCAGGGTYGTGCACAAAACACAGCTGGAATTGCCCACCGGAGAGCTGGTTTTTGCAATCCCCACAAACCCCAAGCAAGGGCTGCAAATAACCTGCCTCAGCTTCGAGACCTGCCATCCTRAGCACACCAAGGTACCAGGTGTGCCGGGTACTCACCAAGAAGCACGCGATGGAAATGAATAACAACACGTTTGAAACTCTGCTGGAGAAAAGAGGGTCCCCCTTCCCTTCTGAAAGGACCTGACGTTTCTGCAAGGCCAGATAAATAAAAGCAAACAGCATCCCATGGAAAACCACCTGCAAAAGACAGACAGGATGTGGTGACTSTTTCATGGCCTCTGCATGTGCTTCAGGTGCAAACTCTAAGCTCCTCGACAGAGAAGCTACAACTGAGGGCATTTATAATACCAAAGCCTGACAGTRGTTCCTGGCCCAGATTTATTTAATAAACAAAAACAGGCTTCCCACGCTAAGCTGCCACAAGCTGCATGTTCAGCTGAGTTTCCAAGTGAAGAACAGAGCACTTGAGGCATCAGACACATGACAATGACATCCCAAGAAGCTTTCAAGTGCCCTCTGGCCTCTTCACCACCTTTGCCAGCAMTGGGAAGGGCTTTTGCTGGGAGTAACACACGAGTGTCCTTGGCCTGCTCCCGTTGGGCAGGTGGGAACACTGCAGCAGCCCCACAAGTGCTTTCCTCRTGCACAGCCAGAATTCTGCAGCAGTGAAATGTGTAAAAAAGAGTCTAAGACATTTTTGGCATCAAGACCCTGGATTCTAACAGAAGTGTTTCTGACGTTATCTTAAAGGAAATATATCMTTGATTTGATTTTCAAAACAAATATTACAAAAGTCAAGTCAATAATGTGCATTTCAAGCCATTTCAAGATTTTTTGCAGCAAAATTTCTGTTCAAGGTGAGACAAAAAAAAACCACTTTATGACTATTCTTTTTAAAGCAAGTAAGCTGCATCTAGCAGCAAGTCAGTCAGGCCCCATCCTTCAGAGGTTCTGACAGACATTTGCAAATTAAGGTGATGCCCTCCACACTTACAATAAACAACCCACTCAAACATCAATTTTCTATCTTCTCTGAACACAAAGCAAACAAAACCCAATCCCATATTAAAAACATGGTTCAAAGACCCTTATAAAGGTGTTTAAGCCTTACATACATAGCGATCTAACTTCCACCTAAACCACCACTCGTAGACATTCCCGTTCAGTTCAAAACACTTGGACAGTGGCCAAAAGGAAAATATCTTCTCAAATGCACCCTGTTAGGGAAAAAAAGGAAAAACAAAAATGTGATTTCACTGACTTCACCTGTATTTACTAAATTTAAAGGAATTAAGTTGCTTTCTTTTAGTATTATCCCATCTCTGTTCTGCCACGTCAACCGCTCTGACATTGAAGCCACACGACATTACGGAAATAACCAGCTTTTCTACAAAAACAACCCCCAAACCCACTCAAACAACCCCAAACTCAAACCCAACCCACTCAGAAAACAAAAATACTTCCTCTCAGATGACAGAAGCCCCCCTTTGTGTTTCCCCTGACAAAGGTATTTAACTTCTCCCCCTCCATTTCRTTCTGCGGGCCACAAGGCACACGCTGCAGTACCAAATGCCTATTCCTCAGAAAACTACAGTTTCTACCCTGCCAGCTCTGCTCTTATTCCCCTGTCAGGTATATGACAGTAAATATTCCTTAAGCCATGATGTTAAATGAGAACCAGCCTTTTGCTTGTGACTCAAAGCCTGAGACACCAGGTCTCAGGGGACACAGACGTGGGGACCTGCAGGGGCTATCGGATTCACACCCCACCAACATGAAGCACATTCAGAAACCCCTCTAAGGCCAGACCTACATTTCTATTGTCAGCTGTATTGCACTGGAATAATAATGTCAATTAGCAGAAAGAAATGAGTATGATGCAGAACTGAGGTTAGTTCTATCATTTGCAGTGATTCAAGCATGAAAAGGTGAAACATAGGTGAAACATAGGTGAAACATAGGTGAAACATAGGTGAAACATAGGTGAAACATAGGTGAAACATAGGTGAAAC